GTGTGTGTGTGTGTGTGAAGGGTTGAAAGGGAGGGGGGTGGGGGTGTCAATGTACACCATCTTGACCCGCCACGAGAGAGCATTGAGTGAGTACGTTTTGTTTTTTGTTTTTGTTGGTGTTTTATTGTTGTTGTTTTGCTGGGTTTTTTTGATGATGATGATGATGTTGTTGTTGTTGTTGTTTTTGTTGTTGTTGTTGTTTTTTCTGCTGTGTTTTTTTTTTTTTTTTTTTTTTTGGGGGGGGGGTGAAATTTTGGCAGCTATGGTGATGTTTTAGCGGGTGGTTGGAGGGTGCCACTGTTAGGTCCTACTTGTTTACTTTCCCTTTATTGTCTTTGACTGTCTGTCTTAGTTTTTCCCAGCACGTAATGACCATTATTGTGTTGGTGTGTCTGTGCTCTGGCGTGGTTTGCTTCTTTTTTCCAATCAAACATGTATCGGTGGGTGGTTGACGGGTGCTCTGGTGTGGTTTGCTTCTTCTTTCCTACCAAACATCTATCGTCCTTATCTCGCCTCCTTCTTTTTTGTGTTTGTTACTCTCTTGTAACTCCTCTAATCTTCGGCGCTTATATGACCTTATTGTGTTGCAAGTGCCGTAAAACATTTATTAAAACTAGCCTCTCTTTAGAGAAGCGAACAGATTTGATGGTGGGTGGTTGGCGGGTGCTCTTGTGTGGTTTGCTTCTTCTTTCCTACCAAACATCTATCGGTGGGTGGTTGGCGGGTGCTCTGGTGTGGTCTGCTTCTTCTTTCCTACCAATCAAACATCTATCGTCCTCATCTCGCCTCCTTTTTTGTGTTTGTTACTCTCTTGTAACACCTCTAATCTTCGGGACTTATATGACCTTATTGTGTTGCAAGCGCCGTAAAACTTTTTCTCCAGCACTGAATGACCTTTATTGTGCAGATGTGCTTCTCTTTAGTTAAGAAACGAAAAAAACAACAACCCCAAAACAACAACAGCAAAAAAAGCAAAAACTCACAAAAACAAAACTAAAAACACCCTAGAGAGAGAAACCCCC